CATGCTGTAAGGGAAGCTGAACAAGATGGTGAAGTTGAGTTGATACACTGCCGGGGAGAAGATCAGGTCGCAGACATCATGACTAAGCCATTATCCAAAGCCAAGTTTGAATATCTTCAGTTTAGACTTGGTGTTTCCAGGAATGATATCAAGGAGGAGTGTTGAATGGTGATACCATGTTGGAAATGATGAACTTGGCAGAAAAATTTGAATTGCATGTTTTGCCGCCGTTTGGACTCCTACTGTTCATGCAGAAGTAGTTTTTGGTCACTGTTTTAGGAATGATTCAGTGATGTGTTTAGGTGTATTAGGTTTGATTAAATGTAATTTTTCTTATGCATGTACGTGTATTAGTTGGCGTATTGTGTTTAAATTTGAAATTTGTAAACCATTAGGTGAAACAGTGGCGGGTGCTTGTATAAATTTATCCTTGTTTTTTGAATAAAAAACAGAGCATTATTTTCCAGTCTCGGTTCTCTTTCGTTCATCAGTTTCTCTTCTTTGTTTTCATGCAAAACCAACAATCTCAAACGTTTTTCATTTTCATTTGTAATCACCTTAGTGACTGGTCATGTTAGCTCTGTTATGATGACATGTTAGGGACTGAATAGGCTGTTCAACTGATAAAACTTTCCTTCTCTGCCACATGGAGTTGTTTATATAATTGCAACATGCAAAGAAAAGCATAATTACTCAACTTGAAAAAAATTATTCAATTGAATGCGATTTTCACCCACCTTATACATCGGAATATGATTCATATTTGATAGTACGTATAGCTATAGGACTTCTGACAAAATGCTCACCATCAGTCCATGTGAGGCTCCCGAATCTATAATTTGTATGAAACTTCTCTGTAGTGGAGAAGGTAACTTTGAAGGAAATAATTTTGAGGGTCATGTTAAAACTTAAAACTTGAGGCTCAACCGTCATGTTTATGCCGTAAGGAGCTTCCCCTGCAGCTCTATAAACTGAGTTAACGTGTCCCACATTTGTGACCTTTCTTGTTACTGTCACTGACTTTTTGAGATTTGGGATACTGATAGATGGGAGGTTGAGGTTCAGTCCAAGATGGCTGCTTTTAGAGCAACCGATTTTGGTTTTGGTTAAAGCACTAATGGATGCATTATTGTGACCCATTGAGCAAAGGAACTGAATATAGTCTTCTGTAGTAATATCATAAACCAGCCCTGGTTGCATTGCCCTGTTAGGATTGACATGCCCCCCTCCAATGTCAAATGGATTTGCTGCCTTGCGAGTTAAACCCTCCGCAAATATGTTCATTCCGTCTGTTCCGTTTTGGGAAGCTGCAGTTTCGTCATTTGTATTATAAATGCTGAAGCTTTTTCTACAAGAAAAGAAAAAAAGAGTTTTGAGTTTGAGTCACCAGTAGTAACTAGAGCTGATCTTATGGCTGCAGGAGACCAGCCTTGATGTACAGATTTGATGAGAGCTGCTATTCCTGCTACATGGGGACAAGCCATTGAAGTTCCTGATAGCAGTGCATAAGAATTCAAGTGCTTTCTGCCGAATGGTCTAACTGCAGCTAAGATGTCCACACCTGGTGCAGCTACGTCAGGCTACACCATCAAACGAACATTGTAAGGGAAGGTAATAAGCTCAGTATACAAATAAAAAGAAGAAGAGCACACAAAAAAAAAAAAAAAAAAACGTTTAATTTTACCGAATTTTGTGCAACTCTTTTCGATAGGAAAAGAAAAGGATTGCTCATCAGATTCCACATAAACAGTTTCAATAAATTGATTAACTCTTGGGTGACTTAATTCTCAACTTAAACACTTCATTCCTTTGCCTTCAAAAAGAAAAATTAGATTGTTGACTATACCTTCAATAAAGCTGGGCATATTGAACTCGGTCCTCTGGACGAGAAAGATGCAACTTGTGGAGATACCCATTTTCCAATTTCAGTCTTGGGAAAACTCAGCTTTGCAATTGGCGACCTACGCATAAAGAAATACAATGAATGTTCTTCAGTTCTCTAAACGTCCATGTTTTTTTTTCCATCTTCATATCTCATTACCTTGCTGTTCTGATGTAAGAAAGTATTTCTGTCCCTACTTCATAATCAACTTTAACACAGGGAATCGAAAAGCAGGAGGAAAGCCCGTCGTTATGAAACTGTGCTAATATAAGTCCAACCCCTCCTGCTTCCGCCACCATTAATGATGTATTAACTATGTCCACTGAATCAGATTTTGAAAAGCATAGTATAATTTTCCCTGATGCTAATGTTGCGTTAAGAGTTCCCGGCTCACAGTACTTTCTGAAAGAATTTATATAACACAATATGTTGCAGAAATAAATATAACCAGAACCGGTTCAAAAAAAGAAGAAAAAAAAGGTCTAACGCTGAATCATCTGTAGAGTCAAGGGCTACACGTTCAGAGTATGTTAGGCCAGTGAATCCACGATTATCCTTTCCAGTATCCATGGATTGACCCTGCAAGAATTAAAGCTATGACTAGAAATCTTAACAATTGCATTCTCTGCCAGATTTCGTCTTAAGAAACATTTACTGTTTTATTTTACCCAGAGAGTTTGGTGATTTCCAAGTGTAATAGCCGTTGGGAAGGCCCGGTCAATGGTGGTGGATCCAACTGTGATGATCCAGGGGGCAGTATTCACAATGGTTTGGGAAGTAGGACCATCATTTCCTGCTGAGCAAACAACAGTGATCCCTCTAGAAGTTGCATGGAAGGATCCAATTGCAATTGAATCACGTTGATCAATGTAGGAGAACAAGGGTATATCACCGCCTAAAGACAGCGACAGGATATCTACTCCATCGTGTATGGCTTTGTCAAATGCTTTTAGAATATCAGCATCAGCGCATCCGAAGCCGTCCCAGCAAACCTTGTAAATTGCTAAGTGAGCAAGAGGTGCTCCTCCTCTGGCTGAACCTGCTGCTAGTCCTTCATAATTTGCTTTGTCAACAAAATAGCCAGCTGCTGTAGAAGCCGTATGAGTACCATGGCCAACTGCATCCCGTGGCGATATAAACTCGTCGTCTTCGGTTGCGTTAATGGGTCTTTTGATCATATCCACGAGCCCTTTTATGAACCAGCGAGCCCCAATTAATTTTTTGTTGCAGTTGGAGGAGTTGAACTTCTGTCCCTTTTGACATATTCCTTTCCAGTGGGATGGAATTGGACCCATGCCTTTATCGCTGAAACTTTCGGACTCCGGCCAAACTCCTACAAGTTGAAATTCATCAAAGTCTAAGTACATTATCTTTCTTTAGGTCTTTTTCTTTTAGCAATGACGTGGGCTGTTACCTGAATCGATTACACCAATGATAGTTCCTTCTCCCATGTTGCTCTCAGTTAACAGATTTTTGGAAGAATGATAATTCAGCCCAATGAATTCCCAGCTTCTGGTTGTGTGGAGCTTGACAATGCGATTTGGAATTACTTGGAGAACACCGGGAAACTCTGCCATTTTAAAGTAGCAACATTTTAGATGATAGAAAGATTTTAGTCCACACAGGTGCTTTCTTCAAATTATCATACCTGCAATGTTTTTAGCTTGAGTTTCTGTTAGCCTTGCAGCAAATCCAGAAAAGCCATGCTTATAGCTGTAAAGAATTGAACGCTTTGCTGCTTCTTTGCTGTGGTACAGATGTGGTAGAAAGTTTTGAAAGTTGTTGATTTCAAAACTAACAGCGAATTGGAGTTATAATGATGATGTAGATTTAGAGCTGTACCTTCCAAGCAAAGTTGATAGTACTTTATGGTGAGACTTTGTAATTGTTACTGGATCTTCACACTTCTTCTCTCCCATATACACAATGTGTACCTATAAGAATTTCAGCAGATACTCAAACCAGGGAAAAATGGAAAAGGAAAAGCAGTATGAGAAACCGAATCCGGAACTTAAAGTAACACATATATACTTACATTAGTAGAGGCATCAACAGATATTAAAGAAATTTGAACATAGTATTGAAGAAGAAAGAGAACAAGAATTCTGAGGAACTGATTTTTTCTTGTTGCTATCCTGTTAATCAACATGATATCCATCAGCAATGCATATAGTAATGTGGATTCAGATATTGAGTTATCCTATGGATTTTGAATTGTGTTATGATAATGCGATGAGCAGGTTCATAAAATAGCCATCGCAAATGTCCGATTATAATAGAACTTGATAGACAGAATGGGGAAAGTCGAACATCATTCTTTTGGTTCACTTTTGCTCTTTATGCTAAAATCTTTCTTTATTTATTGTGAAAGCTTTATGCTTAATCAAGGAAAAGCATGTGAGAATATATGTGATTATGGAAATTTCTGGGAGTGGAAAGATGCTCAAGCAAGAGCTCCTTCACAAATAAGGAATCATGACAGAGACATTTAGTGTAGGAATATTTATTGAGATTTAAATTGATTGCTTCCTCTACTTTTCCAAGCTTTCGATCCAGTCAGTATGCTCTGTAACCCATGAATACTATTGATGCAGTTTTTGAGCATTCTTGTTTATTACCCAGTTCGTAACTTGCAAATCATAAACTGATAGAAGAGCTGAGGTTTCACAGTATCCATACTTATTATGCTGCGGTGTCCTTATCGGCTCTTAGATGCTTTAAGACGATGACATTGCATTAAAATTAATCCACTTTCATTATTACTACCTTTTATTTAAAGTCCAGTCCTGTGAGAATCCAATCCCTTAATTTTTTTTTATTTGTGCTTTTTGCTTTTATTTGCTTCTCAATAGTTACCAGTGGGACTGCTCATTTCGAAGAAAAAAAGGCAGGATAGCTTCAAAGAAAAGGTCTTGTGGATAAACCCATATGCTCAACTCAGAAAAGTTCCAAGGGATGATGTGGGATCATCTGTGGTCTTCTGAGAATTGTTGCTTCAATTGTTTTAAGTGAGAGATTTTTTAATATTTGATTCTTCTTTCTGTTCATTTTCTTTTTCCAAAGATATCTTTTCTTAGACGATAAGATGGTTTAAAAAAGAGGGGAAATTGGCTGTTTCCAAAGTTAACAAACTGATTGATTTATTCTCCAATATTTATCAATTATACAAGCATACTTTTTTTACAGAAGATCTTGGATACCAATAAAGTATCTGCGATGTTTATTGTATTTTATTAAAGAAGATTAGGGAGGAACAAGAAAGAGATTACCAGCCCAAATGAAGAGGTTTAATTTTCAATTGTCATCAGTATAAAATTCTATAATCTGTGTCCTCACAGATATAGGAATTGTCACATTGTGCACTCCATCAGTCCATGTTAGGCTCCCAAAGTAGTATCCCGTGTTCACTTTGTGGGTGGTTGAGACTGTAACTTTGAAGGAATTCATTTTGGTGTTAGAATTGAAAACCAGTATGTCAGGTTTTACAGCTACAGCTATGCCAAATGGGTGCTCAATAAGGGATTTGTATATGGAGTGGGGAGGACCAACATTTGTAACACTTCGAATGAGGGTAACAGATTCTTTTAGATTTGGAATGGTGATAGAAGGTAGATTTACATCCAGAATGGAAGGCTTGGTACTAGGACACATTGTGGCTTGTCCTACAAGCTGAGAAATAGAAGACTCATTGTAACCAACAGCGCAAAGGTAATGTATGTAGTCAGCAGTGCCCATGTCATATATAAGACCAGGTTCCGACGCCTTACTAGGGTTTACAAGGCCACCTCCATAGTCAAATGGATCAGCAAGCTTTCGAGGGGACCCTTCCGTAAAGATAGGCTCTCCAAAAGGATCAGTTTTCCATGCTGCAATGAAGTGTTTTCATTAATTCATATAATTAAGTGCAACTGTTTTCATTTCATTGGATAGTTATTTAAAATAGTTTATAGACCATCTAAGCTACCTGTTGTGACAATTGCAGATCTAATAGCAGCAGGGGACCAATCAGGATGTTCTGCTTTCAGAAGTGCAACAATTCCTGAGACAATGGGAGCTGCCATTGACGTACCAGAATGAACGGCAAACCCAGCATCCATGAAGGGATCTAATGGAGCACTAGCAGCCAATATGCTTACACCAGGTGCTGCTATATCCGGCTGTATTGCAGGAAACCATTATTGGTTAGCACAATTCAATGAAATTACAATATTAGCATGGATTTTTATGCTCTTGTAGGGAAGAATGAGGATTTTTCATACTTTCAGAATAGCTGGAGAAATGGAGCTTGGTCCCCTAGATGAAAAGTAGGCAACCTTGGTTGCAACTGGCTTCCCCACTAGTGTTCTAGAGGTACTCAATTTTACAGTGGGAGAGCTGCGAACCCCAAAATCATATCCAAATTTCAGCATATCAATTAAGAAAAGAAAGAAAAACAAATATAAATATCCTATAATCATAATGATTTGAATACCTGGTGGAACGAATGTAGAATAGTATCTGGGTGCCAAGCTCGTAGTCTACTACAATGCACGGAAAGTCATCACTGCAAGGTCCAAAGAGATGACTGGGATTTCTAGCAATAATCACCCCAACACCCCCCGCTGCTCTCACAGCAGTGACAGCACTAGTCATTGCAGATCGCCTAGCGACTGTCGTGAAGCAAAGAACCACTTTGCCAACCACTGAAGTGTTATTAAGTGAAAGGGACTCGCAGACTCTGCAAAGATGCCCTTAATTGTTACATAAAATAGTAAAATAGTTTGCATATACTAATAGAACATAGACAATGCTTTACATGTTAATGTGCCATTTCCAAATTCTGTCAAGCAAGGGAAAGTAGAAAATGTTAGTAAACAAGATGGAATGACTTATATTACCCTGGTACTGTGGGGCGTAGTCCTGGGACCTCTGGGTACACCAAACCAGTAAAATCAATTTCCTTCCCCGCAAACAGAGCTTGACCCTGCAGGATTTGCCAAATCAATTAACACATCAAAAGCATGTTTGCGCTATGGATATAAAGTTAATGTATCTGGCAATATGCTGAATATGTAAACCAGTACAGTTATGTTGTTTCCAAGTGTAATTGGTGTAGGAAAGGACCGATCAATGGTGGTAGCTGCTATTGTTAAGATCCAAGGTGCAGTGTTGTGAACGGTCTGAGCGGCAGGTCCATCATTAGCAGCAGCACAAATAACAGGAATACCCCTTGCAACCGCGTGGAATGAACCAACAGAAATTCCATCAGGCTCATCAACTTCTGGAAAGAGAGGAATTTGTGTGCCAAGAGACAAAGATAACAAATCAACCCCGTCATGTATAGCTTCATCAAAGGCTTTCAATATATCAGCAGATGAGCATTGCCCTGCTGGCACATTCCAGCATACCTTATACATGGCTATACGAGCCCGGGGGGCACCACCTCTCACCGTACCTAAGGCAATGCCTTTGTAGCTTGTATTAGCCACAAAAGAACCGGCAGCAATAGTCGATGTGTGAGTGCCATGTCCAACAACATCTCTAGGGGACATATAATCCGGACTTTGAGTGGTGTTAAATGGTTGCTGATTTTCTGCTAGGAAACCATCAATAAAATATTTTGCTCCTATCAATTTTCTGTTACAGTCTGTAGTGCCATTGAAGAGCTGTCCGGATTGACAGTGACCCTTCCAACGAGTAGGGATTGGACCAAGCCCTTCATCGTTGAATATCTCTGACTCTGGCCATACACCTATATATCACCATTGGAGGACTATTAAGATTAACTTATCACTACATAAATTAATGCATTAATTTGTAGTTATATATGTTAATGTGTGAGTTTCTGTTACAGAGACACAGAAAGAAACCTGTGTCAAGGAGACCAATGATGATTCCATCTCCCATGTTGGTATCTTGCAGAATATTGTTGGGAGAATAAGAAGAAAGATCGAGGTAATCCCAACTTCTTGTTGTTTGCAGTGAATGAAACTGATTGGGTGTAATACGAACAACCCCATATAACTCTACGTAGATAAGAAATAATCAGTCACTTTTAGAACACTTTTATCATACAGCAAAATAGTCTCAGGATGAGTTTTGATAAATAGAACTGCTGTCAATAAGATAACAGCGAGCACTCGAGTTCACACACATGCAGAAGAAAAAAAGCACAGAATATTCTGTTTAATTTTCTTTTTATTTCAAACATGTGGAGTTTTACCATAGAAGAAAAGACTTAAATGTGATATTACCAGCAAGTTTTTGAGCTTGAGATTCAGTAAGCTTGGCCGCGAATCCAGAGAAACCATGTTTATAACTGTAAACCATCAAGTCAGCAGCAGCCTCCTTGCTGTAGCATGAATATAACCGCACATAGTCAATAACCAGAGTAATTTTTCCAGCAGCTGGTTCTTCTTTATGATATATAGAAATATTTTCTTATTTGGACATATAATTTATCTACGCTTTTGACTTATAAAGCAACATGATAAGAAATTATTAAGCTAACTTTATCGATAAAATTACCACTAAGCAGTTAAGTTTTGGTAAATTATGAAACAGTGAGTTTTAAATGCTAGTAACTATGTATAGGACCTATATGGGTATGATGATCAAGTAAGCACAGTTTGTGTTTTCATAGGCCATACCTTCCAACAATTGATTCCAGCATTTCATGATGTGATTTAGTGATGAGCTCAGGATCATCATGCTGCTTCTCACCAAGATAAACTATGTGAACCTAACAGTTTAAAACAATTCCAGGTGTGAGTTTTTAAGATGCATTACGTTCCAATTTGGAGAAAAAAAGCTATCTCCATGATTTACTTACTTTGCTTGTGGCGCTTACTGGTGCAATCAAGCTATTATGGACATTCAGAATCAGGAAAAGGTTTACTATCACAAACAATGAAATTTTGTAGCCCTTCCTTCCAATTAAAAGAGATCCCATGTTGTCTTTTTATACTTGAGAGGAAGAGATGACAATCTACAACTAGGGTGTTTATGCAGCTGAAGGAAGGATTAGTTTACAGTCTTATATAGGCTTTATTTATCATTAATTAAGCCTTCAAGCTTGGAACCTTGCACAAGCAAAATTTGACTTTGAACATTTATTTATTTAATTTAGCACTATAATATAATTATAACCTCTGCTGATCACATTTAACCAGTGGCAAAGACACAGAAATTTCTTATCCAAAGGAATTAAATCTACCAATTTTGAAGTTGTGATAGGATATATATTACTTAAATGCAGCATTCAACCATATACCATATCATTCAAGGCATTTCAGGATATGCTCTTTGTATAAAATTAATTTTAGAGAAGTTGAACTTTGAAAATAGCTTGAAGAGCAGATGGTGTTACATACTTTTAGTTTGAATATCTGAGATTGAAGGAGGAGAAACATGAGAACCGTTGGATAATTTGCCATAAATTTATAATAAAGATAGACAATCAGCCAACTAGGAAAGTAGTAAGGAGCAAGAAACAGGCATACAAATCGTCTAAAGGATAAGCAGATAAGCTAATTGACAAAAATAATATTGTTGATTATAATGTAAAGTCTCCTGACGTTTCTTAAATTCATAATATAAGAGAATTTAATTACATGTTTCACTGTTTTAAGCTCTCATTGACTTTATAGCTTATCTGTTTCCAAAACGGATGGATAATATCTGATGCTGATGATGCATCCACTCTAAACCCTTTAATATTTGCTCAAATTTCAAATGAATAATCCAGTTTAAATCTTTTGTCAAAAGCTACCTTTAGAAATGAAAGCCTAGAGGCTAGAGAGGTGTAATTGTTAAATTATCTTCATCACAATTACACAGAGAATTATTAACTAGTAATGATCAGTCATATAATAAGATAGTAATACATCTGTTCTCACGGACAAAGGACTTCTAACATAATGAACCCCATCAGTCCAAGTTAGGCTTCCAAAATAATAACCTGCGATGAGCTCGTGCGATGTCGAGATGGTTACCCTGAAAGATATCTTTTGGTTTGTAGCATTGAACACCAAGACATTAGGTTGTACTGATATCATTGTGCCAAACAGATGTTCAATTACAGCTCTATAAACAGATTTAGAGTTTCCAACGTTTGTTACTGTTCTGGTGATGGTGACTGAATTTCTAAGACTTGGTATTGTAATGGAAGGTAGATTTATATCTAACATTGAAGGTTTTGGATCCGGGCACATGGTGGGTTGCCCTGTAAGCCGAGAGATATCAGTGTTGTTGTATTCCATGGCACAGAGATAATATATGTAGTCGGCTGTGTTCATATCATATATGAGACCAGGATCTGCTGCCTCATTCGGATTTACAATGCCACCACCAAAATCAAATGGATTAGCAAGCTTTTGCGGAGATCCCTCAGCAAAAATTGGAAAACCTGATGGACCATTCCTCCGAGCTACATTAAATTTTCGAAATGGTTAGTCGATTCCTTTTGTATGGTTTTGCTAAATTCATTAAATAAAAGTGATATTACCAGTGGTGATAAGTGCAGATTTAATGGCTGCGGGAGACCAATCAGGGTGCAATGCTTTGACAAGTGCCACAATGCCTGAGACATGAGGAGTGGCCATTGAAGTTCCTGAAAACAGGACATATCCATTATCCGCCAATCGATGAAGGGGAGAAGTGGCAGCTAATATATTCACTCCAGGAGCAGTAATGTCCGGCTGTACCACAAAATTAACCCAAAATTAGGAAAATTTATCTAAGTTGTCTGGTTTTAGTTTTCAGGCAGGAAGAATCCCAGAGAATACTTCCAAGGTTCAATCTGAACTATGCACTCCAGAGGCAGAGCCTGCCTAGAACAGTACTTGAAGAATGTACCTTGAGAATTGCTGGTGCAATGGAGTTAGGCCCTCTTGATGAGAAAAAGGCCACCTTGGCTAATAAAGGCTTTCCTACAAATGTTCTAGAGGGGCTCAATTTTACTAGGGGTGACCTGTATACACCCATCCAAAAACAAAAAACCATAGATTAATAATTAATAAGAAATCCAGTGACAGTAATCATGAAGTATAAAATGAAGATGGAAATGTAATTACTTGGTTGAACGGATATAAAAGAGTATTTGGGTGCCAACTTCATAGTCAACTTCAACGCAGGGAAAGTTTTCGGTGCACGGAGAGAATGCATCAGTGGGGTTTTTGACAACGATCAGGCCGACGCCACCAGCTTCTTGCACAATTGATGCAGCACTTCTTATGGCAACTCTACTAGTCACTGAGGTGAAGCAGATCACAACTTTTCCAGCTACCTTAGTAGCATTAAGTGAGAGAGCTTGACATACGCTGCAAGTTAGTAGTTGAATAAGTGAATTATTCTTTATCTAATTATATGATAACAATTAACATGTAAGCAAATTCCTGTAAACTCAATTGATATAGTTACCCTGCAGAATTGGGATCAAGCCCTGCCGCCTCTGGATATACCAAACCTGTAAAACCACTCTCTTTTCCAGTAAACACGGCTTGACCCTGAAACAAACAAATACCATTCAAATCAATTACTGCATCCTTGCCCCTAAATCAAATGGAGACGGATATGGTGCTCAATCCACAGTTCGAAAAATATGATTTGCCACAGAACATACCACTAAAGTTCTATTATTTCCAAGTGTTATTGTTGAAGGGAATGCTCGATCCATGGTGCTTGCTGCAACAGTTAAGATCCACGGTGCCGTGTTCTGCACTGTCTGAGCTGAAGGTCCTTCATTTGCAGCTCCACAAACAACTGTGATGCCCCTCGCCACAGCATGGAAGGAACCGGTAGCAATTCCATCACGTTCATCAACATCTGAGAATAGAGGAATGGCAGACCCAATTGACAGGGATAACACATCAACTCTATCATGTATGGCTTCATCAAAGGCTTTCAGAATATCAGCAGATGCACATTGCCCTCCAAGTACATTCCAACAGACCTTGTAAATGGCCAAACGTGCACGGGGTGCACCACCTCTTACATTTCCAAAACCAAGGCCTTTGTAGCTAACATTGTGCACAAAAGAACCAGCCGCAGTGCTGGATGTATGCGTGCCATGTCCATTTGCATCTCTTGGGGAGAAGAACTCCTGGTCTCCTGACGTGTTTAATGGCTTTCCATACTCTGCAAGAAATCCATTAACGAACCAACGGGCTCCAATGATTTTTCTGTTACAATGGGTCGAGGCATTGAATTGGTCTCCAGATTGGCAAAGACCTTTCCAGCGAGATGGGATAGGTTCAAGTCCTTCATCACTGAAGGCTTTAGATTCTGGCCATATTCCTGTTCCATCAAGCGACTAATTTTGATTCTTTGCATCAGAGAGATGAAAAAAGGAGGAATTGAATTGAGTGGGGTAACGATTCTAACGAACCTGTATCAAGTACACCTATGATAACTCCATTTCCCATGTTGCTATTATGAAGAACATTGGAAGAAGAATGAGAAGAGAGGCCAAGGTAATCCCAACTCCTAGTTGTTTGCAGTCTGTGGAGGCTATTTGGTACCACTCGAATTACTCCGGGCAACTCTAATTAAATCAATAGCATAAATCAAAAAACACATATAAGAACAACATATTATCATCTGCTCCTGATCCAGGTGTTTTTTTTTTTTTTTTTTTTTTGGTGATTTGAGGTGTGGCTGCTGCCGTTTTTGGCTGTGAAAAAGGATTTTTGGTTAGCCTTCCCGGGCCCTTTTTTGGGGCTGTTTAAGCGGTGTTGATAGGTGTGTAAAGGTTGTACATTCAGGCTCGTTTGCTCTTTTTGTTAGGTGGCGTTCCTTGACTTATTAGGTCATTGACTTATTAGGGTCGTGCTTTTTTCGAGTTCGTCCCGATTAGATTGTAATTCTTTATTTTTTATATAATTACCAGTTACCAAAACAAAAAAGAATATTATCATGATAAATTTTTTTACGAATGAATGCATAATTTAGACATTATTCAATTTTAAGGAAAAAAACAGAAGGTTAAGATCCAGTATCGTTGTTTTGACAAGCACCTGCAAGTTGCTGTGCCTGAGCTTCTGTAAGCTTGGCTGCAAATCCTGAAAAGCCATGCTTGTAGCTATACACCATCAATTCTGAGGCCAATTCCTTGCTGAAACATGAAAATTTCGTTGGACTAAACGTTTCATTAAAATCTGGATTTTCAATAAGCATTCCCAGATGAAAAAAAAAAAAAAAAGAGGAAAAAAAAAAACTTAAATTTAATGTTATACCTGCCCACTACCGTGGCAAGCATGTCATGATGAGCATCTGTTATGAGTTTGGGATCATCGTGCTGCCTCTCTCCCAAATAAACAATATGAACCTGTCAAGATCAAGAGAAAGAATTTTGATTAAACAACCTGTAAGGAAAACGATACAATGGTATATGTGATCAACTTCATTTTCTTAAAAAACAAACATTGCTTTTATCATCAACCTTTGCTGTCACAAGGATTAGACCATTGAGAACGAAGACAAGATACAGCATAACAAGCACTGGCGTTGAAGGGACCTTACTCTTGCTCATTATGTCTCTGTATCTCTTCAAGATAGAATGAAATTAAGATATGCGGGGGTGATCAGGTATGAATAATGAATCAACAACTTCAAGAAATCACTTGGAGTAATGGCAATACCAAATATAGAAACCATTTACGCTTTCTGCAAGACATGTACAAGGTGCAAAATACCGGACTATCTGTATTAATGATTACAAGGTTTGGCAACTTAAACCTGTGGTTGTGGGATGGAGCTTAAAAGTCAAACTTCATTCTCTCTTTAAAAATCAAGAATTTGACAATGACCAATCAATACAAGTGCTAAGTTAATCAAACACATTAATGAAACTTCAATGGGTACACCTGGAGTTGAACAGCCACGCACGTTGACATCTCTTAGGGTACACGGTCAGACCATTAAAAAGCAATTCGCTTTATAGTTGTATTCATCTGTCCACGCACTTTTAACATACGCCACCATTTCTCTTACAGTAACTGGTAACTTAAACGTTAGTTATCTTATTTCTTATGAGAAATTAGAGCAAATTTTCCTGAAAAGCACTAAAACCAAATCTCAGTCGACCCCATATGTGCTCATGACATTGGAAAAATGTATGTAAAACTACGACTTTGCATAAGCTGTTTTAGTTTACTGTTATACTAGTTGACCAGTGAGGCCATACAAGGGGTTATTTTTGCCTGTGTTTAGTTTATGAATGGAATATATCCACTACAAAATTTTCTATTCTAAATATGATAGCCATCAAAGGACCACTAGTTGGTATGAAAACATTTTATTGGTTGACATTTGAAAATGTATAATTGAGGAGATCAATTATATGACAAAAACCCAGATCATGCTTAGGTGTGGAAGGAATGTTGTATCTTGGAAGAGAGAAGTAAATAGCAAAACAGAACCTCCACAATGTAAGCATCATAAAACTAGCAAGCTCTCACGGATACTTCTTAAATTCTTCCAGAATAAGGTAACTAACACTTGCGGAGCCAGGGGGGAATTGACATGCTTGGTTGTACACAATAGCTTAAAAAAAATAAACATATATGTATGGGCTCTAAAAAATCGATCTTTAACACACTTTTAATGTACAGCAGCTAGCCGGGTAATCTAATTACACTCAGATTTTCTTTGTAATGGCTAGGCTGTACTAATTAACTTACATTCCACCTTCAGAAAGAGAACCTACAGCAACAGAGAGACTAAATTTGGAAAATTGGCCTGTCTTCGGCTGGATAGTTGCTGTATTCGACTTCATAGGACACAGGTCTCCTTCACATTGACTTGAAGCAAGATTTTTGGCATGCTGAAGTCGAACTGCTGTAGGCGATATATTCAAACCATTGAATTCAGAATATGGTTAAGTAGCTCCTGGATGAGGAATGAGGAACTACTGCTATGATGGGTGTCGCAATGGCCCTATTTGTGATATTCCTCTCTATTATTTTGGGATTGACAATAAGAAAACAAAAAAGGGGAAAAACAGTCACAATCTCTGCATATGCACATTCATTAACTCTCATCTTACTCCCACATAAAAATTTGGTAATCATGCTCCAGAAGTTGCCTCCTTTATGATGAGATTAATACCACGTATCCAAAGTTCTAAACTAGAAGTAGAACCTGCCTCAAAATGGATCTCCCTTCCTGTCTCTGTTAACACCCTAAAGGTTACTGTGTTTCCCCCACATCCGTTAACTTCTCTCCTATTCTTCAAAAAGCTCGCACTTGGCCCTGCCACAGCCTCCTTACACACCACATTCCTCCTACTAGACTTTCCCCACGTCAACAAGCCAGATTTGAGCATACGAGCAACCTTTACATGTGGTGAACCTCTTCCCTGACGAGTGTGTTTGAAGAGCTCCTCACCCAGTAGCACATGCGAACGAGCCAAATAATCAAATATCACACTTTCTGCAGCTTTACATTTATTACGTCTCTTAACGAGGGATAAAGCTGTCTCACCTCTGAAATTGGCACTCCCACAATCTGCACCTCTTTGCAATAAAATCTTGCAGGCATCAGCATGGCCCGCTTTCGCTGCAAGCATGAGAGGTGTATACCCATTTTCATTCACAGAATTTATGGGCAATCCCATTGCCAAAAGCTTAACTATTGCTGACAAGTTTCCAATTTGTGCTGCAAAATGAAGTGATCTAAATTCGGAGTGGCCAGTCAGCCTATGAGCAAGAACAGCATCAAGCAATATCTCTTCAAACCGGGATATGACAATGGCATGTGCATGATGCAGCAAGATAGAAACAACTGTTTGCTCATCCCTGCTTTTGACACTGATGTCAGCCCCATAATTTATGAGGAGTCGGAAAGCCTCAGTGTGGCCAGCCTTTGCTGCGACTGCAATTGGTGTCATACCTAAAGCATCATGCTTATTTATATCTTCCGTTGATTGTTGCAGTATAATCTGTAGAAGCTCTACATTGCCCATTCCTGTAACAAAGTGCAGAAGCGAGAACACCTCAAGATTGGTGGAACAAATTCTCTTTCTGGTGATGATAGCCTGCCGGAGGATATTGGCCAAAGAGGATCCAAAAGCACTTCTCTTTGCCAATTGCATAGTACTGTCACCATTATTGTTGATCAGACCTATATCAGCACCAGAAATAATAAGCTCAAGGAAACAATCAGCTTGATCCGATTTGGCAGCCAACATCAAGGCTGTGTCACCAGTTTCAGTCCTTGAATCAATTTGGCAACCATGCAATATCAATTGTTTCAAAATGAAAACACATCCCATTCTAGCAGCCAAATGAAGAGGACGAGATTCATGCCCCTTCTTGGTTCTTATAGGAAATTCAATATCAGCACCAGCATTAAGGAGCACCCTCACAGCATCCAGATTCTGGCAGAGAATGGCATGGCAAAGAAGGTTTCTGCCTTGTTGTTGACTTTCAAGAGATGAAATTTGGTGCTGAAGCAAAAGTTTTAAAATTTGTCCACTTGCTTCATAATATTCAACTGCACACCAGACTTCATTGTATGGCTCACCCAAACATGCACCCACCCTCAGCTCCTCACCAGAGAAGATGTCCCATGACCAGGCTCCTATCCTTACATAGCAATCAGTTTTTGCACCTGCCTAGGCTTACACAACCATTTATATGTTTTAGCTCTGATAATTAGTTTTCTTCGAATTCCCCAAATAGAAGACAGGTACACAAGAAGCATCCATCAGTTGGGAATACTTAAACAAAATCGAAAAACTTATGGATCTAGACAGTAAAATTTTGGACCTCATACGAATTTAGATCTAAAGAACAGAAATGAAATTCCTACATGCTGCAACAATAATGCAGTGCAATCATGTGGCCATAATCTGCTTATAAATGATAAGTCTTACTGGATGAGATTATTGTACAGTCCCAAGCTACCTAAAAGTAATTTACATCAAGATTACCAGTAAGAAATGTGTTATGAATAAGATAGTAGATCCTTACCTCCAACAAGTATTTGACCACAGAAACTTGTCGATTCACAATTGCAGCCACTAATGGAGTGCAGTCTACATTAGCGTGCAATGCTGGTTTGAATGAACGCAAGAGGAGCCTGTCCAAGCAATTTAGGTCCACTCCATTCTGCAGACATAAAGGCTAATTAAAAGACAGATACCTCCAAATGAAACTGAGATGACGAAGAACCAATCTACACCTTGATTAAGGTCGCCACTACATCAACAAATCCTCAACAGCTTGCAGATACAAGTGCATGTTGGGCAACATTAGGTCCTGTCATCTCTGAACAGATCAACAATTCTGCAGCTTTAGCCTGACCCCAGAGGCAAGCTTCAAGTAAAGCATCCTCACAAGCTGATTGAGATGCACCAGCCTTGAGAAGCATGTCAAGAAGAACGAAATGACCTTCACGAGCTGCAGCAGTAGTTGCAAATCCCCGAAATAACTCGTGGTTAACATCAGCTCCAGCTGACTGTATATGAATTAAAAGAGAATAAGGGTCTCACAAAAAGTGAAATGCATGTGAACTGGAGGCAAAAAATTCCTGAATTCAGAAGCAAACTATTCCATGAAGCTTGAGGTAATCATCCATTTAGAAGGCTAGTTTGACGAATGAATGCATTACTTTAAATCCACCAATAACAAGACTGCAACTTTTTGTTGATTCACCTCAACAGTGTTAAGTAATAACCATATGCATATTTGCACCAAAAGAAGTTTAATTACAAATGAACATAGATATAAAGACTAAAAATTTTAATGCACTGAGGGAAATTATTAACAAAATAGCAGCTCAAATGCTTGAGATATAAATGAATCCAGAATATTTTGTTTCCAAAGAGAAAAAGTTAGAGAGCTTAAACAGACCATGACATGAATATTCTTGAGAGTTGAGACAACAATAAGAAACCACCCAAAGGTAACAAGTAAAAATCAACAATTATAAAATCAACGCAAACTTGGTTCTCTCGGATAAACTTCCATAAACCAAAAAAGAAATTTAGAACTTAACAAAAAAAATAAGCACCATCAACCAAAAAGAGACAGAAGAAACGAATTCTAAGGATTAATCGTGAACAACATAACACAAAAAACAGATATGATACCAGAAGTTTTCGGGCAATCTCCACGTGACCAGAATGGGCAGCCGCAAAAAGAGGAGTAACATCAGTGACAAAGTCTCTAAACTCGATCTCAACCTCATCAGCCTCGTCCTCTCTAAGTAGAGTTTCAATGCACTTGACTCTCAAACTCAGAGTCCCAATGTAGTTGACATCCACTGTGTTTAACGTCAAAACCTGGGCAACGCAATCTATGTCTCCTCTCAACGAAGCCTCTATCAGTTTCTGTGATGGCATTGCCAGCTCTTCTCTGTTCCTTCCACCGACAGCACTGAACCTCCCCGTTTCTTTCATTCATTCATTCACATCCATTTCTTTCATTCATTCTTTCACATCCAGAAAAAAATAAATAAATAAATAAAAATTTAATTAATATAGTATTAAATTGAAAGGGGTATCCGAGGGAGTATCGGTAATAATAATATAATAAGAAGTATTTGGATTAGTATTACAAGGGAGAACAACATTTTCCCACCCAAGGTTTGACGAGACGACCCTTTCGCACCCATCAAGTTTCAAAATGACACGTTCCCACCTTTTGTCAGGTTCTGTTAGTGTTTTCTGTTAATATTTAACTAAAAGACATAAATATCCTTAAATAGTTTATTTCTTAATTAGTTCATTATAAATTAAAATTTAGTTAAACAAAGTCCTTACTCAAGTGTAAAGATACATTTTTTCTTTGTTTATTTAATTAATTAGGAATATTAACTATTAAGATTTTCTATGTTAATTAGTAAAAATGAAAAATATTATATTAATAGATTATTGAATAATAGTGATGAGATATTTATGATATTATAAATAAATAAATAACCAAATAAATATTAAGGTTATTTAATTTTAAACAATTCCATAGTATTAATCTTAACTTTTTAGTTGGGGTTAACTTTTTTTTTTTTACTTTTTAATATCTTACTTTTTGGCTAATTCAAAAATAATAAAAAATTTATAAAATTAAATATTTAAAAATATTTTTATCTTTTCAATCAAATATTAACAGAAAATATAACAAAAATGTCATTTTAAAACTTGATGGGTGAAAAAGTGTCATTTCGTCCAACCTTGGGTGAAAAAATGTTCGTTCTCCCATTTCTAAATAATGGGGTTGTCGGGGTGACGTAAATGCTAGTAAGAAACAAAGCAAAGCTATATGCGGTATATAGGAATAGGACTATGATAATTCATATCTCAAATAAAAATCTGTTTGAATTGACATGATTGGTTAATCTTTTTACATGAATAATAATAAGTTTAAGTTTGAAGTGGAGGAGGGAAAACTTCAGTTAGATTTTGTGGAGAGCGACAGATGAAGGTGATTTATTTTTGTTAGCAAAAATCACGGGCCTGTCGGGAGACCCCACAACGTGATGGGCTACTATTTACCTCATCCACAGCCCGTCAACCAAATTCAAATTCAAATTCTGGCCTATTACCATTAGATGGTTGGATAGAGTATGTATTATAAGATAAAATTTAAAAATTAATAAAAAAATCCTCTAACTTTTCTAATTTAATTAAACACACCAATATATAAATTTTTTATAAAATTATAAAAACACCCCCACTCACTTATAGTGTCAGATTCCAGCCACCATCATCGGAATCTAGTTGAAAAATGACGTTACGACGTAGATCGGTCGGATCTAGCTGGTTGTGCATCGGCACGGCCTTTTCTAGTTAGATCCACTGCGGATCTGATCGGAAAAGCCAGATCGACGAATTACCGACTAGTTCCGATCGTTTCTATGCCGTTGTGATAGATTCCGGCAACTACCGATGGTGGTTGTCAGAATCTAGCAACCATAGATAGATAGGGGTGTTTTTGTTAATTTTAAAATTTTTTTTCTAATGGTGTTTAATTAAATTAATAAACTTAAAGGGTCTAAAAGTAATTAAAAATAAAATAGTATTTTTTAAATAATTAAACATGTATTTTGAGGATAGAATTGGGAATAGAGTATAAAATATTAAAACAAAAAACACCCTAAGCTTTCAGAAAAAGAACCATTTTATGATTATGAATCATATGTATACGCATACACATACACATACAAATACACATATAGATACACATACATATTAAAAGGAATTGTGGAATCTCAATCTGAATCCCCATCACGATGCCTTGTCTTCTATCTGCAACTGTTACTCATGCGCTGCTCACATTACCATTTACCTCCTGTCTCTTCGTGTTGACACCCTGTCACCTTCAAATGGCCCTTTTATCCCCTCCTTTATCTCTATTTTACTGCATTTTATTTGAATCTAAATATCACTGTTACCTTATATATATATATATATATACGGACCCAATTACCCTTCTTTATGCTGAGAAAGTCCATTTCTACTTTTTGTAAAGCTTCTCTTTAATAAATAATAATCCTTAATCTACACTAACCATGTTTACTCATATAATATATTCAACACTCAAACGTCCAAATGACTTGCAACAAGTTACAATGACGTTGAGTAAGTAATTGGCGCAATGTTTCAGTTTTGGAGGTATTTTTAGTTGTCCAATCCAAACATGCTCATCAAACTTGCTCCTTCAACCACTGCTTCCTTCTTGGTTTCTGTAATCAATATAAAAACAATTTTATCAACGACTTCTGAGCTTGGCTGTCCAACATTAGAACTCAAGTTTTATACAAAAAAACCAAAGATTGACATTATAAAATGCCAAAATTTATAGTACACACTAAACACATCGAGCCCCCCCCAATTTGAATAAGTAGACAGAGAGTTGAATTGGGTGAAGGTGAGGAAATATAATGGCTTCTCTAGTGGGTTCTGGGTCTGTGGGGAGTAGCAAGTTAAATCCTGAAAGCAAATGGAAAACCATCACACAAAAACGTTAAACCTTACAACCTATCCACTACTATTTGCTTATAAAAACACTCACCACCTAACCAGAGGCATTAAACAAGATATTCATCAGGCAGTTGACAGGTTCAGCTACTCACTAATTTGATAACACAAGCCACCTCCTCCCATTTTATCCATAACTTGTTTTTGTGAACTTCCTATAATAACTTATTCATTAAACGTTCTTCATCTTGTTTATCTCGTAAAGTTTGTATTTCTCGTGCAGCATCTTTTGTTTCCAAAAAAAAATATATATATATATATATATCATAGGGGCATTATGGGTAGTTAGTGTGTTGTCTGTGGCTTTAGCCTTTAGGCATTACATTATTTTAAGATTTTGTCTGTCACAAAACATGAAGTGGAACATAATTACAGAAGGCCCATTCTTGGGGTGGTTTTGATTTGAGAAAGCAAATCCATCTCCACATTATTTTACTTTAAACACAAATTGAAATGAAAGTCTGTTTCAGGCATTATTTCGTTGATGTACTTCTCCATGCTTTCCTTTTCTCTAATCTTAATCTAATGGGGTCGCTTGTTTTCTCTTTGTAACTCTCAAGTTTTTAAGAAAAGTAAGAGGCAGAAGCGCCAGCTTCCTTAAAGTTGAAGCTTTTATTATTTGATACATTGAAATGGGTTTTAACAGACCTCAAAAGGTAGCTAATGGAGTTTCAACCAGATGGGTTTCTCTTCTCTGCTTTGCTAGTTTCTTCTTGGGTGTTCTTGTTATCAACAGGTTCTTTTCTTTATTTCTCTCTCTTCTCAATGCTCAAGATCTTGTCTTTTGCTGATCACCTCTTAGATTAGCTTTAATACCTTTCAATACTGTTGCTTTATTTTTTGCTGCCTGTTGCTTTTCTTTTTCAACAATTTTATTCCTGTTCTTTTTTGGATGTACTGGAGAATCTCTGGTTGTCTGATACAGATTCACGAGCAAAATGCAATAGTTCCTAATAGTTTGGCCTTGTTTTCTCTTCTGGACTTTAAGTCGGTGTTCAAAATTGGGACTTTGTTGTTCTGTGTTAATAACTTTGTTTTAAGTTACTCTCTCTATCTCTCATACGAAGATACATGAATTGTTAAACAATGGGAATAGTTGGAGTGAGACCTCTGGGGTTGATTGGTACTAGATTTGGACGATTCATTTATTCTGGTGGTGTGATTTCATGGATATTGTGATACAGGCTTTGGACACTGAGAGATTTTTCTCATTTAGTTTGTAATTATCCAATGTGGGGGATTTGTTTGCCGCATTACCTTAGAAAATTAATTTCATGATCTGAGCAGGGGATGTTGCTCCGGTTGGAGCTTCACCAATAATAAGGATTCAAGTGGCCTACCCCATTAATTTGGTGAAGCATTGGTTAAATTGTAGGGAGTTCAAAACCCTACTGATGGCCTTGCAAATGTGAGTGAAACTTGTGTTATAGCTTCAGAATGGATAGCCATTACGATGATCTATAAGCTAATGGCAACTAACTGAAGAGATTTGCTTGAATATAGGGTATGTATCTCTAGGAAGGAATCTAACTGTCATTGGGGGTTTTCTGGATCTTATACATAACTTGGCTATGAAGATGAATGTGATATGAGATTAGTGTACATTTGCTGACCATATTCCCCAGGCCATTTTCGACTGAAGTTTTTAATGGAGTTGAAGATGACAATCTATTATATCAGCGCAAGTGCTTCCTTATTCAAGTTGATGGTAGAAACTGTAGCCATTGTTATTTGATAAGTGACCAAATTATATTGATGAATTCATTTGATACTAAATAAAGCACGTTAAGAGAAAATGTTAACAAAATCAGAATCGCCAGAGAAACATATTGGCCTGTCAAATTTCTGATACTTGAATCAATTATTGAGAAACTAAGTTCCATAGCTGATGAACAGGTGCTATGCTGATGTCCTTGATGAAGGATTTCTGTATTGTCTTAGAAAACAATATTTTTTTTTAATGAAAGTAGAGTCTTTATAAACCCAAAAAAAAAAAGATAAGTGTATTCATTTTGGAGTCTGGTAACACCATTTTCTGGACTACAAGATAAAGATTTATGCAGTCCATAGAACGAAAAAGAACTATTCGGGTATAGAATCACAATGAATGATATGAACAGAGTAGTTCTGTTTCCGATGAACAATTCAAGATAATGCCAACTTGTGCCAAACATGTCATTCTTGCTTGTTCAAATCCCCAGTATTTGACTATAGCATAAAAAGTCATTTAAAGTTAAATGTTCTGATTGGCCACACACCATTACACACTAGCGGTTACTCCTTTTCCATTTATGTGATCTTAGTTTACTAGCATTATTACCTTTCTATATGTATTTCCACTAACAAGTTACTTATACCTATTTGATAGATTTTGGGCTGTTCCTGATCCAATCAAAAGGGATGACGAGGCTTCATCTTTAAAGAAGCATCATTCAGAATTACTGCACCCAACAGTTAATTGTGAGAAGAAGGCAAGTACAAGTTTATCCTCGTTATCATAAGCTAAACTGAGTATTAGTAACACATTTTCATAATTTGTGTATGTTACTACAGGATGCTTCTGTCCAGGCAGGGGACATTCTTTCTCAAGTTTCTCAAACTCATGATGTTATCATGTAAGTTTATTATCCTGCTGACTAGTTACATTAAAGGATTTTGGATCACTTTTCTACTTCTATCAATACTTTATTTGTAATCCTTTTCAAACTTTGAACTGAAACCCCCAGGTGAGGCTGGGTACATAAAATTTATCGTTAAGTCTAAGATGGTTCATTTGATACATCTTTCAGGACATTGGACAAAACAATCTCCTCGTTGGAGATGCAACTGGCAGCCGCTAGGGCTGCCAAAGGTGATAATGAGGAAGGATCTCCAGCAGTTACAAAATCAGGAAATGAAAAATTAAAGGAACGCCAGAAGGTTTTCTTTGTTATGGGAGTCATTACTGCATTCAGCAGTAGAAAGCGAAGAGATTCAATTAGAGAAACTTGGATGCCTAAAGGTTTAATACAGAATTATTAACTGTTCTCCACATGTACATATTTATTAGTAGTTACTGAAATTAGATATTAAATACAATCTTTATTGGCTATTTTTGTTAGGAGAGGAATTAAAGAAGTTGGAGAAAGAGAAGGGAATAATAATGCGGTTTGTTATAGGACACAGGTTGGTTTGCTTGACATTGCAAATGCTTGTTATACTGTTAGCTTACCTCATAATGATAGTTTGGATGAAATATTATAGTTAATTTCTGTGGTCGTCAGTGCAACTCCAGGTGGTGTTTTGGATCGTGCTATTGATGCAGAGGATGAGCAGCATAAGGATTTCCTACGACTGGTATGTTTACTTTTTAGATTCTGGGTGCCTGGTTGAGCCTTATCTCTATTCACAAGGCATGCTATATAGTATACACAATAAAGATCATTAAAACCATTAAATTAGTCACCCTCACCACCTTAACCTGCTCCTCCAAGCCCCCTTCTGATTTGGTAGTTCTTGTTTCATTACATGATTACAACAATCTTTTCATCATCCAAAGGGAAGAAAAAGCATTTTTAATTTGGTCAAGAAGCTAATCACTATTAGAAAACAAATTGAAATGACATTAGTAGATGGAAAATGGTTTTGGTTGTAATTTTAGCCAATTCAGCCTCAAAAACTGGGAAAAATTGTCAGATTGATGTTTCAAATTAAAACAAGATCTAGTGTAAAACATTTTTGTGCTTTTTCAAAGTGATAAGACCAAACTATGAGACACTCATAAAACTTATACAGAGTTACTATTATTCTTTTTGCAGAATCATATAGAAGGTTATCACGAACTGTCATCGAAAACCCAATTATACTTTTCAACAGCTGTTGCTAAGTGGGATGCTGACTTCTACATAAAAGTTGATGATGATGTGCATGTGAATCTGGGTTAGTGTATCTGTATTTTTAAAATCTTCTTCTCAACTTAGAAAAGAGCATGAATAGTTTGATTTCATGTTCAGCAAATTATTTTGAACATTTAACAGGCATGGTTGGTTCTACATTGGCACGACATAGGTCAAAACCCCGTGTTTATATTGGTTGTATGAAATCCGGACCTGTCCTGGCTCAAAAGTAAGGAGTCAAATTTTCAATTTTGTGAATTCTTTCTGGTCATCCCTTAAAGATATTATTTATCTGATATACATTTGGGTATAATATGTAGAGGGGTCAAGTACCATGAACCAGAATATTGGAAATTTGGTGAGGAGGGAAATAAGTATTTTAGGCATGCGACAGGACAAATATATGCAATCTCCAAAGATTTGGCCACCTACATTTCTGTAAACCGGTTAGCATCAGTCTGTTCTTATTACTGGAGCCACTATTAATTGTTTATGCTTTACTCTCTAGGCATGTACTTTATAGCTATGTGATAAAAATGTCTGTGGATTCTTGGTGTATTCTCTATAAATTGGTTGTTTTTTTTTTTTTTTTTTTTTTCTCTTATTATTAATTATTTATGACTTCACTTTTAGGCATATACTCCATAAATATGCAAATGAAGACGTGTCTTTGGGATCTTGGTTTATTGGTCTTGATGTTGAGCACATTGATGACCGAAGCCTTTGTTGTGGGACTGCCCCTGGTAAGATACCTGCTAATTTTCTCTGGTTTATTTATGCTAAAGTTCTTTTTCTTGTTTTTAAGTTGTCTGATCATATTAATGTTTTCTTTTTGGTTTTTAGATTGTGAATGGAAGGCTCAAGCAGGGAATCCTTGTGCTGCTTCATTTGACTGGACCTGCAGTGGCATCTGCAAGTCTGTAGAGAGAATGGAGGAGGTACACCAGCGCTGTGGGGAGGGCGATGAAGCTATCTGGCATACCAGTTTCTGAAGCCTCCCCGCTGGTTTGTAACATATTTGTGTATGTTTGATCATAGCCATGGTTCAGACAACACCATCTGCCCGATTTTTGCTTATTAATGCCTCGGGACAGTGTACATGATTAAATTAATTTACTGCACATATGGATTCAAAGTCTGGTAACACCATTTTCTGGACTACAAGATAAAGATTTATGCAGTCCATAGAAAGAAAAAGAACTATTCGGGTGTAGAATCACAATGAATGATATGAACAGAGTAGTTCTGTTTCCGATGAACAATTCAATATAATGCCAACTTGTGCCAGACATGTCATTCTTGCTTGTTCAAATCCCTAGTATTTGACTATAGCATAAAAAGTCATTTAAAGTTAAATGTTCTGATTAGCCACACACCATTACACACTAGCGGTTACTCCTTTTCCATTTATGTGATCTTAGTTTACTAGCATTATTACCTTTCTATATGTATTTCCACTAACAAGTTACTTATACCTATTTGATAGATTTTGGGCTGTTCCTGATCCAATCAAAAGGGATGACGAGGCTTCATCTTTAAAGAAGCATCATTCAGAATTACTGCACCCAACAGTTAATTGTGAGAAGAAGGCAAGTACAAGTTTATCCTCGTTATCATAAGCTAAACTGAGTATTAGTAACACATTTTCATAATTTGTGTATGTTACTACAGGATGCTTCTGTCCAGGCAGGGGACATTCTTTCTCAAGTTTCTCAAACTCATGATGTTATCATGTAAGTTTATTATCCTGCTGACTAGTTACATTAAAGGATTTTGGATCACTTTTCTACTTCTATCAATACTTTGTTTGTAATCGTTTTCAAACTTTGAACTGAAACCCCCAGGTGAGGCTGGGTACATAAAATTTATCGTTAAGTCTAAGATGGTTCATTTGATACATCTTTCAGGACATTGGACAAAACAATCTCCTCGTTGGAGATGCAACTGGCAGCCGCTAGGGCTGCCAAAGGTGATAATGAGGAAGGATCTCCAGCAGTTACAAAATCAGGAAATGAAAAATTAAAGGAACGCCAGAAGGTTTTCTTTGTTATGGGAGTCATTACTGCATTCAGCAGTAGAAAGCGAAGAGATTCAATTAGAGAAACTTGGATGCCTAAAGGTTTAATACAGAATTATTAACTGTTCTCCACATGTACATATCATTAGTAGTTGCTGAAATTAGATATTAAATACAATCTTTATTGGCTATTTTTGTTAGGAGAGGAATTAAAGAAGTTGGAGCAAGAGAAGGGAATAATAATGCGGTTTGTTATAGGACACAGGTTGGTTTGCTTGACATTGCAAATGCTTGTTATACTGTTAGCTTACCTCATAATGATAGTTTGGATGAAATATTATAGTTAATTTCTGTGGTCGTCAGTGCAACTCCAGGTGGTGTTTTGGATCGTGCTATTGATGCAGAGGATGAGCAGCATAAGGATTTCCTACGACTGGTATGTTTACTTTTTAGATTCTGGGTGCCTGGTTGAGCCTTATCTCTATTCACAAGGCATGCTATATAGTATACACAATAAAGATCATTAAAACCATTAAATTAGTCACCCTCACCACCTTAACCTGCTCCTCCAAGCCCCCTTCTGATTTGGTAGTTCTTGTTTCATTACATGATTACAACAATCTTTTCATCATCCAAAGGGAAGAAAAAGCATTTTTAATTTGGTCAAGAAGCTAATCACTATTAGAAAACAAATTGAAATGACATTAGTAGATGGAAAATGGTTTTGGTTGTAATTTTAGCCAATTCAGCCTCAAAAACTGGGAAAAATTGTCAGATTGATGTTTCAAATTAAAACAAGATCTAGTGTAAAACATTTTTGTGCTTTTTCAAAGTGATAAGACCAAACTATGAGACACTCATAAAACTTATACAGAGTTACTATTATTCTTTTTGCAGAATCATATAGAAGGTTATCACGAACTGTCATCGAAAACCCAATTATACTTTTCAACAGCTGTTGCTAAGTGGGATGCTGACTTCTACATAAAAGTTGATGATGATGTGCATGTGAATCTGGGTTAGTGTATCTGTATTTTTAAAATCTTCTTCTCAACTTAGAAAAGAGCATGAATAGTTTGATTTCATGTTCAGCAAATTATTTTGAACATTTAACAGGCATGGTTGGTTCTACATTGGCACGACATAGGTCAAAACCCCGTGTTTATATTGGTTGTATGAAATCCGGACCTGTCCTGGCTCAAAAGTAAGGAGTCAAATTTTCAATTTTGTGAATTCTTTCTGGTCATCCCTTAAAGATATTATTTATCTGATATACATTTGGGTATAATATGTAGAGGGGTCAAGTACCATGAACCAGAATATTGGAAATTTGGTGAGGAGGGAAATAAGTATTTTAGGCATGCGACAGGACAAATATATGCAATCTCCAAAGATTTGGCCACCTACATTTCTGTAAACCGGTTAGCATCAGTCTGTTCTTATTACTGGAGCCACTATTAATTGTTTATGCTTTACTCTCTAGGCATGTACTTTATAGCTATGTGATAAAAATGTCTGTGGATTCTTGGTGTATTCTCTATAAATTGGTTGTTTTTTTTTTTTTTTTTTTTTTCTCTTATTATTAATTATTTATGACTTCACTTTTAGGCATATACTCCATAAATATGCAAATGAAGACGTGTCTTTGGGATCTTGGTTTATTGGTCTTGATGTTGAGCACATTGATGACCGAAGCCTTTGTTGTGGGACTGCCCCTGGTAAGATACCTGCTAATTTTCTCTGGTTTATTTATGCTAAAGTTCTTTTTCTTGTTTTTAAGTTGTCTGATCATATTAATGTTTTCTTTTTGGTTTTTAGATTGTGAATGGAAGGCTCAAGCAGGGAATCCTTGTGCTGCTTCATTTGACTGGACCTGCAGTGGCATCTGCAAGTCTGTAGAGAGAATGGAGGAGGTACACCAGCGCTGTGGGGAGGGCGATGAAGCTATCTGGCATACCAGTTTCTGAAGCCTCCCCGCTGGTTTGTAACATATTTGTGTATGTTTGATCAAAGCCATGGTTCAGACAACACCATCTGCCCGATTTTTGCTTATTAATGCCTCGGGACAGTGTACATGATTAAATTAATTTACTGCACATATGGATTCTCATTTCAGGAAAAAAAAAAAAAAAAATGATGAAAATCTTATAGTTTCAAGGTTTACAGTTTTTAATTTTCATAACCGCGATATCAAGAAAAGTTGGCAAATGTTTTCCGATGTAATTAGTCACATTTAGCTTTCAGCCAATGCATACATAAAATCTTGTTCATTATCGTTATCCGCTGTCTAATGGTTGGTTTATGAAAACTACATGGACCTTCTACCTCATACTCTAGACGAACCTAGATATCAGCCGTGTGTGACTGCACAATGGATCAAGCACTTTAATTGAGAAATTATTTATGTATGATAATCAAGAAGTAATCAAATTCTGGCAAACTTTGACAACCATTATGTGGATGTGGGTGTTTCTGTATCTCATCAACGCTGTTTGGAAGCCCGTCTGAAGGGTAATTTTCAACTTTTTTGTGCTATGAAATCAACAGTTTACAGTAAAAAGGGCCTAAACATTTTAAGCATGTAATGTAATATACACCGAGGAGTTAAATTGTGCCAAAAGAATTGATGCAATCTCATTAAAACTTGTACTCAACAAAGTAGTCCAAGGCAAAGCCAACATGTAAAACATGTTAACATATTTGATGGAGAAATAAATGAGAGTGGGACGGGTCTGAGATCAGTATAGCAGCCGGAATTTTGAGAAAAAGACACAGATTCTAACCAAACAGATCATCTCAATGAATTATGAAAGATTGAAAATGATGTTGATAACATATAAAAGTGGACCATGTTTCAGGTAAAACTCCAAAAGTAGACCCCTCTTCTCTTCACCGTCATCTAGAAACAGGCCCTCTATTTGATACAAGTCCTTTTTTATTAAAGCTTTTTGAAGCTTCCCATCGACCCCATTTCACATTAGTTAAGAAATTATTGTTAATTCATGGATATAACTCTCTTTCTCTCTCTGAAGTCAAAGAAAAAGCTAGATCAATGTTCTTGTTTAGAAAGAGAACACCGAGTGCATACCACAAACAGAAAATACATGACGAAAACATGTAGTTAATGAATAAATAATTTCATTAGTGGTCGGTCCAGTTTATGAGCATTACTTGAGCCACCTAATTAAACAATCCCCTGTTGGTTTCTGGACCACTAGTTTAGCACACCATTTCATTGTTCATATGCACGCGAGCTTGCAGAAGATCAGCAGCTTGTCACCAGAAAGTTTAGGCTCTACCATATTCATTGCTCAATTAAAAAAAGAAAAACCCATGTGGGTGTTTTGTTTATCTAGTCTTTATGGATAGAATCCATGGACAATCAAACAAAAGCACCATGTGCTTCATACGAGTCATGATTTCCACCTTGATGGGTGTGTTTTAGCAAAAGAGGCTATTTGAAAGGGAGTTTGTTGAAGTAAACTGATGAAAGTAATCCCCATTTTACGTAAACCAATAGCAATTCTTTTGAACTTGTCCACCTTAACTCACAAATACGCAAGTTTTAAATGCCAAAATATAAGGGAGACTAGATTGCAATTATTTCTGGCCACATACTACAATGAACGTGATAGTTTTCAATACATATAAGTATTTTACCCAAAAAGAAACCGTGAAAATAAAGCCTGTTGGTTTGACAACATGAAACCCAGAAAAAGTCACATATTTATAAGTTACAGAAATATTTCTAAATCAAAATCGTTGAAATTTTCCTCTTGTTGAATATTATTTGAGTAATTTGACCTTTTTATTCAATAATATGACTATAGGGGTCCAAGCTTGAACAGTCAACTCAATTGTCTAATTAGTTTAGTTAAGAAGAGGTTATCACAACTAATTAATCCTCTCCGCGTTAAAGTATTTGAGTCAATCTAATAGTAGTAGGTGGAGTTTTAAATTAAACTCGTATGGGGTTTGAATTTGAATGTTGAAGGCTTCTTTCTTCATCTTATTTTTCATTCCTCTTCATATTATATTGATAATTTTATACTTTAAAACTCTTAAGTCAATACCCATGAAAATATTTATGTGAATGAAGAAAATAATAAAGAGGAACTGTGGAAAAAAAATAACTACAGGCTGGTGGTGGACGGAGTACAAATATAAGAAGTAAAAAAAAAATTCATAGTGAGAACTGAGAAAACGTGAAAAACGAGAGGAGGAGAACGCGGCGACCACAGAACAGAGACCACAGCATATATATAAAAGACAATAGAGAGAAGTTGTCATTGTAGATCTGAGCACCACGCGATATTAGACATCAATCTCTAAGTCTAAGCCACATTTTCACATACACTAGTTAAACAAAATCTTTTCATATTATATTATATATTACTATCATCATAATAAAACCAAACTATACACTCTGCTTCTGGCCCTACGGTTATCCGAAGAAGACGATTTTCTACCGCTAATCTCACAATCCTTATCCGTATAATCTTGTGTTTCTTTGCTCTGCTACGCTTCTCTTCTGTACCTCCCCATATCTCTTGTTTCTTTATTCATTTTTTTTTTTTTTTTGTTTTTCTTATTATTAAGCCTTTCTGTTGTTAGGGTTATCTTTCTCTCTTATCTCTTTCAAACCCTCGAAGAAGAACGCTGTGCTCACGCTACTACTTCGATTCAATCGAGGGTTTTCTGGGTGTCTCTTCCTATTTGTATATTCCTTATCCTTCGGTTTATTAAATATAATAAATAGCATGGGTTTGACTTCGGTTTTATGGGAGATTTTTAACAAACCCACCATGGGTGATGTTTTAAGAGAGTTGATAATGTTTATCGCACCTTTGTGGATTGCTGTGATTGTTGGGGTATTGGTTGGCTGGGCGTGGAAGCCGAAATGGGTCAATCTGGGTTGTAGAGATTTGGTGGATGCTTCACTTTCCAAGGATTCGAATTCATCTTCTATTGGTTTGGCTTCCATTCCCAGCCTCAACTTTTTGAAGTTTCAGTTGCCCACTTGCATGTCCGGGGTTTCTGATGATGGACTCCAAACGGACGCTTTCAATAACCAATCTACCATCAATCCTGATTGCAGGTTTGTATCCTTTTATTCAATTCTCCGTAATTTTATGGCTCCCTTTTGCTGTATATATATATTTTTAAAGCAAATTATGGTCCCATGATACGGTAAAGATTACAATTTGGGGACGGAATAAGATTATTAAGTCTTATAATATGGAAATGCTTTAGCTTCGTTTCCTTTTATTTGTTTGTTTGTTTAGTCTATAGAACCATTTCATTTTTGTGTATGATACGATAGGAATTATGATTATTAAAGATGAAGTGAGAGTAGGATTTAGATTACAATTTGGGACATTACTTACCAATTGACTTTGTTTCTTCAGTTCGTCGCAGAGGCAAAACTCAGTGCTAGTGACAGAGGATGATTTAGAGCATTTATGTCGGCTTGTTGAGGTGAAAGATGGAGGGCCTTCTTGGATACACATGATGAATCGTTCTACACAGACTATGCGATATGAAGCTTGGCGGAGAGATCCTGAGGTAGCTCTCATTTCTTGAAATTGTGTCAATTTGGGTATTTGGTTTCGTTGAACGAATGCATTCATAAATGAAGGTGAACTATTAATTACTCTCCGTGCTCAGATTTTTGTGATTGATTATATCGTTTTTGATTGATTTACTAGACTGGCCCTCCACAATATCGAAGCAGTACCATCTTTGAGGATGCCACTCCTGAGATGGTGAGGGATTTCTTTTGGGATGATGAATTTCGGTTAAAGTGGGATGACATGCTTGTACATGCCTCTACTTTGGAGGAGTGCCCCACTACTGGAACGATGGTAGTCCAATGGGTGCGCAAGGTCAGGAATTTTTTCTTTCTTCTATATATAGTCTCCTTTTCTCCTTCTTGTGCATGAGATGTCTTAGTTGTGTTGGCTGATATTAAAATATTTTTTTGTGGTACAGTTTCCCTTCTTTTGTAGTGACAGAGAATACATTATAGGCCGTCGGATTTGGGAGTCTGGACGATCATACTACTGTGTAACAAAGGTATGAGAAATGGGAAATTTCTATACTATCTTTGAGCTAAAATTGGTTTAGGAAGTGAAAAAAAACCATCCAATTTACTTTTTCCCTCTAGTAAGAGATCAGCATCTACTTCATCCCAGCTTCTTCATCTACTTCATTTTTGCTTCTTCCTGTTTATCTAGCTATTGATTATGTGATTATCTGGCTCTTCTGTGTACACACAACAAGGTTTCAATATTTACTTACAAGTGTATCCACCGATAATTTTAGGATTTTATTGTGGTTGGAGCTTTTAATTAGGACATATTTAGTCAAACAAAAGTGGCGTATTTAAGAAGCCATATCTTGCTACATGACTTCCCAAGTATGGAGTTTTTTTTCTGACAGCTGTTGTCTCAGTTTCTTATTAGTGCTTCTGTCTCAATTTATCTCCACTTATTCTTCCTCCCATCTAAATAGATACGTATTAGGAACTGGTTTTACCAGTCTTAGTTGTGTGTGTTATTCTGCAGTCACAGCTTTAGTATTCAGTTCCCTTTGCGCTAGTTTCAGTAGGGATTGATTTTTATAACTGTTTTTTCCATCAAATTTGCTGTCTCTGTTTTGTTGATGTACGTTGTTCCGTAAATGACCTGTCTGCTGTTTATCCATGTTTTAGGGAGTACCCTTCCCCTCTGTGCCAAGGCATAACAAACCCAGACGTGTGGATTTGTACTATTCAAGTTGGTGCATTCGTGCAGGTAACTGTTGTCTTATAATGTATTTCAGTTAGAAGTTCTCTATGGTTTTTTGTGTTACAGACATAGAACGCCACTAATATGCCTTCAATTTCCTTCAATAAAGAGAAGAAATTGTATTGGTCCCCTAGCACGGGTGAAAAAAGGGAAAAATCATCTAAAATTTCTCTAAAAAATTGTGGACAAGTGGTAGAAAATTTCTAATACACTGTCTTTTAATGAACAATCAATGTCTAATAAGTACAAATGTGGATGTGAACCAGTTGAATCAGGGAGGGGGGATGGCCAGCTGACTGCATGTGAGGTCTTACTATTCCATCATGAAGACATGGGTATCCCATGGGAAATTGCAAAGCTTGGCGTCCGACAGGGTATGTGGGGAGCTGTCAAGAAGATTGACCCCGGCTTGCGTGCATATCTGAAGGAAAGAGCATCTGCAGCCTCACTCTCACGTTGTGCTTTCATGGCCCAGATCAACACCAAAGTCAGTGCAGACTACCTAAGATCCTTAGACAGTTGCACTAATAATTCATCAGAGGATGAAATGTTAGATTCATCTAAGAAACCAGTAGGAAGGAACATACCTAAGCTTTTAGTTGTTGGTGGGGCAATTGCCCTTGCTTGTAGTCTTGATCGAGGACTCTTGACTAAGGCAGTTATATTTGGAGTAGCCAGAAGGTTTGCAAAAATTGGAAGGAGGTTGTGAATCACAGAGTTTTTTGCATAATTTTAGAGATGCCGGCCAAGTTGCTGCTGCGGTGAAGCGAGAAATTGCAATGATGATTCCCCGCACTTGCCCATCCTTGTGAAAGAGTAGAAAGTTGTATTCTTTTTTTAATATGTTTGACCTGCTTAGCAGCTTCAGATAGAAGAGGGTAAAAAGATCTTACAGTGTATTCTTTTTAATTTGTCAACAAAGGATCTGGTGCTGCAGGAATAACAAGCATATTCATGTTTCTTTACTTTTTCCATTGTTGCACTGTTTGTATATCTATTTTATTTCTTCATTGCATGATGATATGAAGAACAAATCAGGCATAAAGAAGCAACTTCCTTTTTGCAGTATATCTTTTCCGTGATAATCATGCGGACTTATTTAACAATTTTGTAAAATAAGCAAAGGTGCAGAATTCTCTGTTTAATAGTTGCTCATTGAGGGGATTCGGTTAAATTAATTTCTTGGCCTGCTCGAAGTGATAGATAATAAATCATAATATAAAGGAATAATAGGTATCATTGATTGGACACTAAAGTTGCTGTAATCCAGGTTGATCTAGGTTCATGCGTAATCTCTTTCGACATATTCCTGGGAAGCTGTTTTTTGTTACCCATAACACAGAGACATTAGCATTATGCTTTATGTTGCTTAACATTTTCTTGGTTCCCAACCATGCCTGCTTGCTTTTGTATAATCATGCTTCTCAGATGTACAGGAGTTGCGTCTAATTGCAGTATTCTGAAGCCTTTTGTAGTCTTCACTCTTCAGATCAAGTAATTGATCTTCTCTCCCCGTGCATAGGTTAGCAGGTTTCAAAGTCAAATCAATTGCATAGTGAATGTTTCTGCTAAGGGTGCTCATCTGGTTCTGGTCTTAACCTTGTTTTAAGGCGATAATTTTAAAGTAAAGCCTAGCTCCCAACCAACCCGGAAGAAGAAGAGAAATTAAACAAGATATGAGAATTACCAGGTAGTTTTATGTTTTTAGTTTGATATAATTATGGATTCTATTTTATAACAAGTTCAAACAAAAAGATACAATCAAAGAACAAAAGCCAGGATTTGTTACAGGATAATATTGGAGGCTTATTAAAATGAAAATTAGAAGTACAGCACAAGTATCCGGAGGATGCAGTAAAATGAAAATTATAATAAGCAGGAAACAATGACTACAATTGAAAGGACTTCTGACCATTACATATAAACTAGACATGGGCGGTTCCTTCTGTAAATTTGGGATCCTCACATCTGTACTTTCCATCAGGGCCAATTCCAAAGCCTTTTGGGTCAGCAAAAACATTTTCCAATAGCTGACTTCTAGGTGGATGTGGGCTTGCATCTGCAAATTCCACAGAGTCCTCAACCAGCTCATCGATCTTCTTCTCTATGGCTTTTAATTCAGCTTCACTGGCCAGTTTGCTCTCAATCATGTACTTCTTTAAAGCTGTGAGGGGATCTCTAGCAGCATAGTGAGCCTTCTCAGCTGAAAAACAGTAATACAACAGATTTAGTAAGCAGGCAGGACTAGAAAGGGAAAAGGTGACACCATCGTGAATTCGACATAGTCCTAAATTGTAAGACCAAATGATTTAGCATGGATATTAATTTATACATTTAATATCATCAACTACTTTATGTATATTAAGCTAAAATATACATGTAAAAGGATGATATGCCTATAAACACATACATTCAGGGCAGAGAAATTTCAAAACTTTGAATATGTGCAAGAAATAACAAATTTAAACTGGAGCTTTGTCAAAAATTCTTGTAACCGATATTCAATTAGAATCAAGCTACAAAATTGCCCAAGGTTCATATTGATTGAAAGCAACAGTCGTGTTCACAACTCCAATACCATGTCTTAGTGCATTTCTATGAAGTGCAGGACAAAACCAATAGAATATAGACACAACAATAATAAAGAATAAATACGCAAGTAAACCCCTAAAACAGTATAAACACATTTATTTCAACAAAGATGATGATGAATAAAACCAAGTCAACGAAAATTGAAGACTCACAAGGATCACGAAGCTCATCAGGATCAGCCAAAGAGTGTCCTCTAAACCTGTAAGTCTCACATTCAACCAAAGTGGGTCCATCCCCTCTCCTAGCTCTCTCAATGGCCTCTTTAGCTACTTCTCTCACCTTCAAGACATCCATTCCATCTACATGAACACCTGGCATTCCAAAGGCAGGCCCTTTCTTCCATATCTCAGGATCAGAGGTTGCTCTCAAATGCGACATCCCAATTGCCCACAAGTTGTTCTCCACCACAAACACAATAGGCAATTTCCACAATGCCGCCATATTTAAACACTCATAAAACTGTCCATTGTTACAAGTACCATCTCCAAAGAAGGCAACTGTGACATCATCACAATTAGTCTGTTTCAAGGCCTCTCGTTTATACTTCGAAGTAAATGCAGCACCAGTGGCAACAGGAATCCCTTCACCAATGAATGCAAATCCACCAATCAAATTATGTTCTTTAGAGAACATGTGCATGGACCCACCTTGGCCTCTAACACAGCCAGTGGTCCTGCCAAAGAGCTCACTCATCACTTCACGAGCAGGCACTCCTTTACTTAAGGCATGAACGTGGTCTCTGTAAGTACTAACGACAGTGTCTTTTTTAGTCAACAGTTTGATGAAACCAGTGGACACAGCTTCTTGGCCATTGTATAAATGAACAAAGCCAAACATTTTGCCTCTGTAGTACATCTGGGCACACATGTCTTCAAAAGTTCTGCCCAAAACCATGTCTTCACAGAGCTCCAAACCTTCCTCCTTAGTTATTAACTACAAACACAAAATAACAAAATATGTATTAATACAAAAAAGAGAAGAAACAAAAAAAAAACTTAAAGATAAATTAAAACATCGTTGGTGATTAGTTACCAGATTGCCAACAGATGGAGAAGAGTTAAGATGTTTTTGCTTAACATCAGATACAGCAAAGATGTTGGATTGGCGAAGTCTTGGAAGAGGTAAAGTAGAGTTAGTAAGAGGATTGAAACGGAGGTTGCGGGCGGATCCCAGAAAAGGAGTGAGTGAAGGATTATTATTAGTAAAAGAGCGGGGTGTTATGGTGTTGATTGAAGAAGAAAAAGTGGAAGACATGCTTGTAGAAGAAAGAAGAGAGAATTGAGATTGATAACGAGGGGAATGTGTAAGAGAAAGAGAGTAGAAAGAGCGTATAAAGCGGGAGGGAGGGGCGGAGAATGCAAGAAAAAGAAGCACAGTAATGACCGCCTACACAAAGAGAAGCCGAGTGCCAAGTCATCTAACCGACGAATTTATGATTGTTGAACAACACTACGCATAGTGACTCTTTACGTTACCCAATCTGGGCAGGGCTAAATTCTTTTTAGCCGGCCCAACTTTACTTTGAACTAAGACTTAAGCCCAAAAGCTACTAAAAATTTGCCTCTGCAGTCTGCATTGTCGTTAGGTTGATATTTTAAATTGAATAATACTACACATACATCATTCTCATATAATATTTCTTATATAATATTATGTGACAAGATACGATTAGATAAAAATTTAATTTTAACTTTAAATTAACCAATCATATCTTATTACATAATGTTGTATGAGAAATATTATATGAAAATAATGTATATGTAGTATTACTCTTTTAAATTTAAGTAATGCTAGCTTTACTCTCCCTTTTTACTCATTTCTCTTACTCACTCACGTGGTTCCCCCTTTTTACTCATTTCTCTTACTCACTCACGTGGTAGTGGTAGGTGGGTGTAAGAAGAGAGAAAATGGAGTAAGAAGGGAGATTAACATGAGTAAGTAAGAGAAATGAGAGTAAGACTAACATTATTTTTCTTTAAATTTTACGATAACTACTACTTAATTCTTCACATAATAATTGATTTTATTATTGATTGAAACGTGATTAAGAAGATCGTTTTTTAAGAGTTTAACAATTTTTTTTCACCCAAATAATGTTTTAATGACACTTTCTCACCTACATACTTTTAAAATATTATTTTATTTTTCATATTTATATTCCAGTGATAAATAGAGAATAAACTTTGTATAAACTATTAGGACTTTTGTAGATGAGAGATTGATGAATTTTTTAATAGTAAAATGTTGATTTTGACTTAAAAAAGGTAGTTATATAAACCCTAATCATTAAATTGTTGACGATTTACAAGGTTAATGAAAATAGGGTTTAAAAGGGTTTGATGAATGATGATGGAAGTGCAGAATACTGCGTAATCTCTTTCGACATATTCCTGGGAAGCTGTTTTTTTGTTACCCATACGCAGAGACATTAGCATTACGCTTTATGTTGCTTAAACATTTTCTCGGTTCCCAACCATGCCTGCTTGCTTTTGTATAATCATGCTTCTCAGATGTACAGGAGTTGCGTCTAATTGCAGTATTCTGAAGCCTTTTGTAGTCTTCACTCTTCAGATCAAGTAATTGATCTTCTCTCCCCGTGCATAGGTTAGCAGGTTTCAAAGTCAAATCAATTGCATAGTGAATGTTTCTGCTAAGGGTGCTCATCTGGTTCTGGTCTTAACCTTGTTTTAAGGCGATAATTTTAAAGTAAAGCCTAGCTCCCAACCAACCCGGAAGAAGAAGAGAAATTAAACAAGATATGAGAATTACCAGGTAGTTTTATGTTTTTAGTTTGATATAATTATGGATTCTATTTTATAACAAGTTCAAACAAAAAGATACAATCAAAGAACAAAAGCCAGGATTTGTTACAGGATAATATTGGAGGCTTATTAAAATGAAAATTAGAAGTACAGCACAAGTATCCGGAGGATGCAGTAAAATGAAAATTATAATAAGCAGGAAACAATGACTACAATTGAAAGGACTTCTGACCATTACATATAAACTAGACATGGGCGGTTCCTTCTGTAAATTTGGGATCCTCACATCTGTACTTTCCATCAGGGCCAATTCCAAAGCCTTTTGGGTCAGCAAAAACATTTTCCAATAGCTGACTTCTAGGTGGATGTGGGCTTGCATCTGCAAATTCCACAGAGTCCTCAACCAGCTCATCGATCTTCTTCTCTATGGCTTTTAATTCAGCTTCACTGGCCAGTTTGCTCTCAATCATGTACTTCTTTAAAGCTGTGAGGGGATCTCTAGCAGCATAGTGAGCCTTCTCAGCTGAAAAACAGTAATACAACAGATTTAGTAAGCAGGCAGGACTAGAAAGGGAAAAGGTGACACCATCGTGAATTCGACATAGTCCTAAATTGTAAGA